GTGAAAAAGGCCTCAAGGGCGGCGGAGAAGGATGCTTCCAGGCACCATCAGGCCATTGAGAAGCAAATAGCTAAGATGCATCAGGCCTCTTCTCGCTCTACGTCTGCATGCCCCCCGTCCCCAGCATCACTCAGTGAAGTGGATTTGGAGGAGCCTGGGCCTTCTTCCAAACCTGGGATCTGAACTTGGCCACCTGATGTTTCCAGAAGAGGTGCTTCTCCCGTTCCTTTTGAAGACTACAGTCAAGCTGAGGATCTTCATGGAGAAGCAGCACCTTGGCAGGAGCATGGGCATAGTAAACAGGGGTGGAACCTCCTTTACTTCTACTGACCCTGCAGCCAGACCTACTGATCCTTCTGGTTCAAATGTCCCTATTAATTTGCAGGCAATTAGGAAGGGCATCTCAGAAGGCTTGCAGAGAGCTACCCGTCATTCATCTGCAACTTCTGATTCATCAGGAAGGAGATCCAGGGTTCGTGAAGCTCTCTTATCAGAACGAGGCTCCTTTGTCAGGAGTTTCTGGCCTGGCTGAAGACCTTGCTCCTGCTGCCTCAGTGGCTCCATCGTTCGTGGGTGAACCTGATCAGCCTCAATCTGATAAGACATCGGATGAAAGCCCTTCACAGGAGATTCCGATGTTTACGGGTTGTTTTAATTACTCTTTGTTTAGTCCCTTGTTGTTCAAGGCTAGAAACACTGCAAAATTGAAAAACAGAGATGAGGAAACAGCATCCACACTCCCTCCAGAGGAGTCAGGTGTTCTGTTTGATGAGCCTGCAGTCAAGAGGGAAGTGGTCCCATCACCAAAGCTGTTCCTGAAGGTAATCAAGAAACAGCTTGAAGCTCCTGCCACAGGGCCCAATCCTTTGGCCTCTGATTGCAGGTTCTTCAACGTGCAGGTTCTTACCAAGATCCTTCAGGTCATCACAGTTTATCCGGTTGCTGCTTTGACCTCCTCCTCGTCTACACTTCAGACCCAGAGGAAGTCCTCAAGGCAGAAGAAAAATGAGTGGAACAGTCGCTACAGTGATCCCATTTGGCCACTGCCTGGGCTGTTGAGGCTTCTACAGCAGTTTCTTCCTTTATGAAAACCTCACTCAAGTAACTGAAGCAGCTGCGGGATGGAATTTCCTCATCGGATGTCTGTACCCACCAGGATATCAACAAGATCATGGCGGATACTGAATTTTACGGCAGGTGCCACCTTGCCTAGTGCCAGATTTGCCACGAAGGCCATTGCCTCCTCGGTGGCAGCCAGATGTAGGTGCTGGCTACACAATTGGCAAGCTGATGGCAGACATAAAGGAAAGTTGGCGTCTGCCCCAGTCCTAGGGCATAAGATCTTTGGTCAGGTCCTTTAGCCCCTTCTGATGGAGACCTAGGTCAAGAGGAAAATTCTTCCTTCACTTCTACAGAGAGTGGAACATCGATCTGCTCCTTATTTCAAACGCCCACAGTTCAGAAGAGAGTCAACTTCCAGTTTTCCACCAGCCATTGAAACCTGCTTATCAACTAACAGAACCTTGTCCTGACCACTCAGACAAGAGCAGGCAGCAGTTTTCTTCTAGACAGCCCTTTCAAAGAGGAGGAAATCGCTCGTTCTGTCACCAGCGCTAGGACACAGTCTATCCCCATTGGTGTTTGTTTAGCGTGGTTTGCTGACCAATGGGAGGGTATTACTTCAGACATCTGGGGTCTGTCCACCATTAGATCAGGTCTTTCACTAGAATCTATTCCACTCCTCCAGTGTCTACAGATGCTGTGACACGGAGTCTGAGGGAGTCGGCCATCCAGCATTTGCTGGACCTCAAAGCCATTTAGGAAGTTCCCCTTGACAATAGGGGATGGGATGCTTGTCCAGAATTTTTGTTTTTTCCCAAGGCCTCGGGGGGTGGAGTGGAGGACAATTCTTGATCTGAAACTACTCAATACTTGTGTTGTGTACAGGTGTTTCAAATGCACACTTTTGCTTCCATCTTGGAAAACGTTCAGCAGGGGGACCTCCACACATCAGTAGACTTGACAGAAGCTTTTTTTTACATGTCCATATTTGTTCCTCCCACAGGGTTTTTTTCTTAGGTTTTGTTATCGGGCATCTTTCAATACAGGGCTCTCCCCTTTGGGTTGTCTTCTGCCCCTCGGGGGTTTTATCTAGATTCTGGTCCCCTTATCAGCACACCTCTGTACCTTTCCAGTGTGTTTACCATGTTATTTAGATGACATTTAATCATGTCGTCTTGTCAGAGGGCTCAGCAGGATCTGCAAGTCACAATTTCAGTTCTACAGGACCTGGAGTTTTTCCATTAATAGAAATAAGAGCCATTTCTCTCCTACTACTCGCCTCCTTCATTTGGGAGCATTAACTGTCACTAGGGTCAGGTGTTTCTCTCCCAGAAGAAACCGGTTGGCCTTCAGGGGTTGATTGGGGGCATTCCAGGCAGGAGTTCTGTCCCTTTAGACCTCATTCTCAGCTTTTGGGGAAAAGGATATCCTGTGTTCCCTGGGCCAGGCTACATGCCAGATCCTTACAGTGGTTTTTGCTTCCTTTCCGGAGAGTGGGGTCCAGCCATTCCCCTGGGAAAGTAACATTGTCTAATCAACTTTTTGATTTCCTTCCACTGGTGGCTGTCCAAGGCCACGTCCAAAGGAGCAGCCTTTCAAGCTGGAATCCTGCCTGGTCCTTTCTACTGAGGCTTCCTTGTCTGGTTGGGGTGGGCATTTAGGTTCCCTCTGAGCTCAAGGTTTGTGGTCACACCAGGAACAGGCTCATAGCATCAGTTGGTTAGAGCTTAGAGCTGTTAATTTGGGCCCTCAGAAGGTTTCTCTCCTTGGCAGGATCTAATCTTCTGGTTATGACTGACAATGTGGCCTCAAAAGCCCATATTAATCGGCAAGGCGGTATCAGGTCCTTTTTCTCTTATGACAGAGGCGGAGTCCCTGGTCAGATGGGCAGAATGACATCTTCGGTCAATTAGACCCAAGTATAGTTCTGGTTCAGGAAGGTTTGCTCAGCAGGACGACCATTGTCCATACCAAATGGCAATTACATCCTTCCTTATTTCAGCAAATCTCCCTGAGGTTTGGATTGTCAGTAGTAGATTTATTTGCCTCATCCCTTAATGCACATCTGCCCAGGTATTATACTAGGTATTTCTCCCAAGAAGCTGGTGGCACTAATGCCTTGCATTGCAGCTGGCTGCCTGGATTGCTTTACACCTGTCAACCTTTGATCCCAGCGGTGATTCGAAAGCTCTTGTTGGAGAGGGCCGACACCATTTTGATGGCTCCTTTTTCTGGCCTCACCGGCATTGGTTTGCTGATTTGTTGGGCCTTTCAATGATCCCTTCTTGGCGGATTCCACAGGAGGATGTCTCTCTGCTCCAGCGGCTACAACTGGCAGTTTGGCGATTGAGGGGGGCATCTTCAAAATCGCCCAACTTTTAACCAACAAGGTTATCCAAACCATTCAGGCTTCCAGGCATCCTTCTACAATTCGCAATTATGAGGCTATTTGGCAATCCTTCTCAACTTGGTGTGTTAAATCCAACATCTCTCCTCTACTAACTTCGGTGGCTGCAATCTTGGAATTCTGACAGGCTGGCCTGGACAAGGGTCTTTTCCCCAACACCCTCCACAGACAGATGTCTGGCATCTCGTTGGTCTTGTCTTGTGGGAAGTTGGAATCTTTGGCTCAGCACCCTACGGTCCATTGGTTCCTCAGTGGAGCGACCAACTTGGGATCTGACCAAGGTTCTACAGTCCCTCACAAAACCTCTGTTTGAGCCGCTTCAACAATCCAGTCTTCATTGCCTTACTCTGAAAGTAACTTTCCTACTGGCAGCCACTTTGGCGAGGAGAGTTTCGGGGTTGGTGGCTCTCTTGATTTGCCCTGACCCCTGCATCTTCCATCCTCCTCCTCCTCCTCGGGTGGCTTTAAGGTTGGTCCACCCATCCTGACCACCCATCCTGACCTGTCTTGCCTACAAGGAAAAGTAGCATTCGGGTAAATAATGCCCAGTCTCATTCAGCCAAGAGACACCTGGAAACCTTCTCCCATTACACTGACGGAGGCCATGCTGCCTGCTTTCTTTCACAAGCCACTAACCACGATTTAAACCACTTCTTTATTCTGGTGCAAGCTCACACTGGGTTTCTTTTCTCTCTAGGCATTACAGTCACTCTGACCTTCTTTCTATATCATAACCTGTCAGAGCGTTTGGCAGCGTGACTACCTTTATGAGATAACCCAGGAGCAAAACACAGCACACAGAGACTTAGACATTAACAGTGGTTTAATATTAAATCTTAATACTTAACAGAGTGAACTATTTTTAGTCTCCAGCAGTCCAAATTGTGACAGCAGAATTATGTAATTTGTGGGCATTTGGGTACCTTAGAAAGTGTAGGAGTGAGGAGGCACTTGTACCCATTCCAACATAACTCTCCAAAAACAAATAGTTAAAATACTTACCCCTGGCCCTTCTATACTATGGTATTAATAGATAGTATCCCATAACTTGTAGGAAAGTGTGGCGTCTATACTCCAAATATTGTCCAGTCATTTTTAAGGGTGCCTCTTCTTTTCCAATGAAATCTCTTAGCCGATAAGTAAGCTCAGAATTTACTACCTACAGTTTTCTGGATCTAAGGACAAATGATAAATTTTCTTGCTTTAAGTAATAAATTATGGCTTCCCCACCATATCTCAATATCAAAAAGGTGAAGCTATAAGTTTTGTTCTTGTTCTTTCCTAGCAGTTTATTTTGGGGGCTGGGAACATATTACTTAGAAACATTTTCAGTTTGCCATTTTGGAGTTTTCTATTCCTTCAAATATTTCATGGATTTACTGAAGAAAAGGCTATTGTCTTATCTTACTGTTGTGGTGATCACTGATTTACATGGCTGGAAGGAAAACAAGAGACCGGAAGGAGTTGTCACCGTGAAACTTGTCTATTTGCTTCTCTTAATGTTAAACATTTATTTGCTTTTAATTTTCAGGGTCTTGGTTGGAGCCCCAAAGGCAGATTCTAAGTACAGTGCTTCTCTTAAGTCCCCAGGAGCTGTATTCAAATGTCGGGTTCACACTAACCCTGATAGGAGGTGCACAGAACTGGATATGGGTCGAGGTATGCATGAGTAAAACTCTTTCATTTTCACTTCATTTGTTTTGAGCACATTTTTTTCTTCCAAAGAAACATATAACCTTTCACATAAAATCTCTTCTAACACTCTTCAATCTACTTGTGTGTAAATTGATGTAAAGGAAATGACCTTCTTAACCTAGAAAATATATAGTATGGGAAGGCATTGGAATGAGAATTATTGGACAGAATATGGTCCTTATCTGTGTTTATTTTCTGTTAGCTTGAAGAACCAGTGATTTGGAAATAGGCATTTCTGCCTCAGATATTGGTATTTTCCCAGTCCTTCCCCTTATGTCTTCTCCTTCATGACCCCAAAGGCTCTTGGTGCCTTGCTTTAATAGCTTTCTGAAATTGATGATAGGAAAAAACCTGCCATTTCTGGAATGATTTGCTCTCCATGTTTCCTGCTACCCTCTGTGTTAGCACAATCTAAGTGTCTTTGAATGACAGCTGGTGGGAATTTGCCAGAAATGACTCTGTTGGCTATGAGAGATTCTTTCTTTCCTGATATAACCACTACTGTAACATTTTAGAAATGTTACATCTTAGCCAATATCTTAATAATGATTTCAAATAGGTTTTCCATGGAATGTCTAATGCCAGGATAGACAAAGAATTGCCAGTCTTTGATGAACTTGGTAAACGTTTTTTCATGAAATATTTCCTTTATTGAGAAGTGTACTATGCTAAGATAAATTAATTCTGAATCCATCAGATGGAAAAAATAATGGTGTGTTGTCTATAGTGCCATTTCCTGTAGATATACTTTACTGCCATCATCATCCTTTCTAAGTTCCCACCCTTCCCCTGCATTTGTTTTAGCTAATGTTCGAGGAACGTTCTGTGGAAAGACATGTAAAGAAGATAGAGATGATGAATGGATGGGTGTCAGTCTGGCAAGACAGCCAATGGTTGGAGGAAGTATATTGGTAAGTTGTTTTCCTTTGATCTCATTGAAGTGGGAAGTGTAATATTGACATTGACATAAAATGTGTGAGAACAGATATACTGTGCCAGGGACTGATGAGAACTCAGTTAATTCTCTGCTTCTTTTGGGAGGAAGGTAAATTGCATCCTGAGGACAAAGCTGGCATCTAGAAAGACAACTTTAAAGATACCTGCTTCTGTCATCCCTAAGGGTTTCCTTTTCAAAGTGTAGATTTAGCACTTGGAACAGAATGAAAATCACCTTGTGTTTCTGTAAATAAGCCTGCTCTCTTTATTTTCTTTTTTAAAATATACATAGATGTAATGCATATGTATAGACTTGGAAAATATTTTAGGCCATGCTTCATACTAAAGCATTTCTTGCTTTATGCTTAAGCTAAAATTAAATAAGTAAATATTGATATTCAAATACATTTTTATGGATGGTCCTTTTGTAATTAGTAACTAAGAAGTCAGTGGAAGGTAATTTTTTCAATGATGAAAAATATCAGTGGATTGTGACTTTTTCAATGATGAAGCATGTTGTTCTTGATGGCAAAAGGCTCAGAATTGTAGTTCTTCAGAATAGTCAAGGTTGGACTATGAATGGTTTGTCTCTGGTTCACTTTCAGTTTATTGTACCACTTGACTTCATTCCTACCTCCAGGCAATTTAGGATTTCAGTAATCTCACTGGAATGTAGCAGAAAGAAGATAGAGTCAGTTCCAATCGTGTATCAAACTTAAATGACTTGCCATATTATTTATAATATACATTAAATATATAGCAGGTCCAGTAAAACTTTAACAGATACCAAAAGTCAATAGATTTCTGAAGCTGCTCTTTTCATCCCCAAACTCAACATTAAGAAAACTAAGATCATGGCATCTGGCCCTCTTAATGCCTGACAAATAGATGGGGAAGAAATGGAGGTAGTGACAGATTTTATTTTCCTGGGCTCCAAGATCACCGCAGATCGGGACAACAGGGGGAGGAAAGCTATGACAAATTTAGACAGTATACTAAAAAGCAGAGACATCACCCTGCCAACAAAAGTGTGTATAGTCAAGGTTATGGTTTTCCCAGTTGCAATGTATGGCTGTGAAAGTTGGACCAAAAGGAAGGCTGAGTGCCAAAGAATTAAGACCTTTGAACTATGGCGCTGGAGAAGACTCCTGCAAGTCCCTTGGACTGCAAGGCGATCAAACCGGTCAGCCCTAGAAGAGATCAACACTGACTGCTCTTTAGAAGGCCATATCCTCTCTATAAAAAAGTTTTTATTTTTTTAAAAACAAACATACACATACAAAATATAAAAACATAAAACGATCTTCCATTTTATATACATACAGTGTGTCAGTTGGTTACAAATCTTTTGTCCTATCCTTTTGTAGTCATTACAGTTTGTATCAATTTTCACATTATCAATTATTAATCATCCATGACTAAACTATTTATTCCATCATGTTATACGAGATATTCCAAATTTTATCTTAAAATTTATGTTATACTTTCAACCAATGCTTATATATGTCTATATTATGTTTTATATCAATCTATTAAATTTCTATCACAGAATTATCTAGTCTATGACATTACCATGTCTTTTTGTCCAACCATTGATAAAACAAATCCCATATCATATAAAATTGGTTATCTTCTTGTTCTTTAATTTCAAATGTCAATTTACTCATTTCAGCACCGTCCATAATTTTCTTAATAACTTCCTCCTTCATAGGTATTTTATCGTTTTTCCAATTCTTAGCAAATACAATCCTAGCTGCCGTTAAAACATTTACAATCAAATATTTCAACTCTTTGTTATATTTTTCCGGTATAATTCCCAATGAAAAGATCTCTGGTTTAAAGTCTATATGTTGTTTTATCATTTTTCCAACCATGTGTGGATTTTAGTCCAATTTTTTTTGCGTCTGAGCATGTCCACCACATATGGTAATATAAACCAGGTATCTGATGATATTTCCAACATTTATCCGATTTATTCTTAAACATTCTTGCAAGTCTCGTCGAGGGTAGATGCCACCCAGAGGTGGTATTCAGCAGGTTCTGACCAGTTCTGGAGAACTGGTAGCAGAAATTTTGAGTAGTTCAGAGAACTCCTAGTGGAAATTTTGAGTAGTTCAGAGAACCAGCAAATACCACTTCTGACTGGAGATTTTACAGTATCCTTCCCCTGCCACACCCACCAAGCCACGCCCACAGAACCGGTAGTAAAAAAATTTGAATCCCACTACTGATGCCACCTGTAAAACATCTTATACAGATTTTCTTTATATGCAGTTGACATTGTCATTTTATAATTTTGAGACCACAATTTTTGCCATTTTTCTAAATCAATCCCATATCAAAAAATTTCCCCCCAAGCAATCATCATTTCTTTAACTTGTTCCTCCTCTAATTTAAATTCTAATAAATGTCCATAAAGTTTTTAAATTACCTTTTCATCAGTACCCATCAAAATTTTATCTAAATCAGTCAACTTATCAGAAATACCTTCTGTTTTAACATCTTTGTCAAATCGAGATTGTATTTGCAAATATGAAAACCAGTTCATTTTTACACCTTGTTCTTCCAACGCTTGCATAGATTTAAGTTCACCCTTTTCATTCAATATCTCACCATATCTAACTGTTTGTTCCTTTTTATATATTATTGGATAAGAAAAATCTTCAGTGGTAGATATCCATAATGGAATTTTTAAATAGTATTGTTTTTAATCTTCTCCCAATTCAAAAACAATGCCTCTTGGATGTAATGTCTTCTAAAATACCTCTGTGTTTTAGTTCCCTTGTACCAAAGGAAGGCATGCCATCCCAATAGCAAGTCATGCCCTTCTAAGGTCAATAGTCTACTATTCCTTAATGTTATCCATTCCTTTACCCACATCAGATTTGTTGCCTGGTAATACAACTCCCAATTGGGTGAGGCAAACCCTCCTCTTATTCTTGCATCTTGTAACAATTTTAGTTTTATTCTTGCTTTTTTTGCCCTGCCAGATATATTTCAACTCAATTCTATTTCAGTCTTCAAAAAACTTTCCCTAGTTGGATTGGGATTGTCTGGAATAGATATAAAATTCTAGACAATACATTCATCTTAATTGTAAAAATTCCTCCCAATCAATGATAATTGTAAATTTCCCCATTTTGCCAAATCTGTCGCAATCTGCTGTTTGAGTTTAAGATAATTATCCTCTTTCAGTGTGCTACATCTTGGTGTAATGTATATCCCTAAATACTTAACCTTGTTTGTGACCTGTATTTCTAAAACTTCTTCCAACTCTTTCGTCTTGCTGACATATTCTTTGTTAATATCTTTGTTTTATCTTTATTTTCAAACCAGCTACTTTTCCATGTTCTTGTATTTTTTCTATTAATTTGGGTGCTGTTTCCAATGGGTCTTCTAATATGAATACCAGGTCATCTGCAAAAGCTTGCAATTTATACTCTTCCTTTTTGATTTTCATTCCTTTTATTTCTTTGTCTTCTCTAATATTTCTATTCAACACTTCCAATGTTAACACAAACAACAGGGGCAACGGTGGACAACCTTGCCTTGTCCCTTTTCTTATATCTATAGATATAAGAATTAGTTTTCCATTTATCATAACCTTTGCAGTTTGTTCATAGTATATCGTTTCAATGGCTTCAATAATTTTTTTACCAAAGCCCATTTGAGTCAATTGAGATAAGATGAATCGCCAACTCACATTATCAAAGGCTTTTTGTGCGTCTCAAAACATCAAGGCCATTTTCTTTTCAGGATGCGCCTCATAGTATTCCAGAGTATCCAAAATAATTCTCACATTGTCTTTGATTTGTCTCTTTGGCAGGAATCTATTTTGATCAATATGGATAAAATTATTTAAATATCTTTTTAATCTTTCTGCCAAAATTGAAGCAAAAATTTTATAGTCTGAATTTAATAGGGATATAGGTCTATAGTTTTTAACTTGCTGCAGGTCTGTATCCTCCTTCGGTATAAGTGTAATATATGCTTCTCTCCATGTTTTGGGTATTCTTTTCTTTAACATAACTTCGTTCATAAGTGAAGATTCAGTATTTCCTGGAAAGTCTTGTAAAATTCCACTGGTAAGCCATCTGGACCTGGTGCTTTCCCAACATTCTGTTTTTTTAAGGCTTCTATTAATTCCATCATTGTTATATTTCCTTCTAGCATTGTTTCAATATCTTTAGGTATCTGAGGTAAATTCGCTTTCTGTAAATATTGCTTAACTTTTTCTTCTTGAATATTCTCTTGAAAATACAATTTTCCATAGTGATCTTGTATAATTTTTTTCTTCTCATTTCCATAGCAAACATGTCCTTTTTCATTTATTAATTTACTAATTCTTCTTGATTCTCTTTCCTTTCTCAGTTTATAGGCTAGCCATCTGCCTGATTTATTTACATCTTCAAAGTAATTCTGTTGAGCATTTTTAATTTTTTGTGCTATTTTCTCTTTTTCCATTAGTCCCATTTTATGTTAATTATATCTATTTTATTTTAGTGTCTTTTTTTGCGGGGACTTCTGTAGGTCTTTTTCCAATCTTTTATAGTTATCCTCCAATGTTTTGAAGGCCTTTTTCTGTTTTATACTTCTTTTCCTTGTATAGTCTATTATCAAGCCTCTTGTGTAGGCCTTCATCGTGTCCCAGAGGTTCTATGGAGATGTACCCTCTTTTCTATTTTCTATTTTCTTTCTCTATTTTCTGTTTAAAGTCTTTTTATTTTAATATCGTGTTATTTAAAGTCTATCTAGATCTTCTCTTATATCATTTCCAAATAACTGTCACTGGATTATGGTCTGCCCAGGTGCTTGTTTCTATTTCAATCACTCATATATTAGCCAGTAATTCTGCTGACATCCATATCATGTCTATTCTAGACCATGATGCATGCCTGTTTGAGTAAAAAGTGTATTGCTTACTTTCCACATTTCTCTCTTTCCATGCATCTTTTAAGTTAAATTCTTCTGTTAT